AAGCAAAAGGGCTGGGGGTAGGGTACTTGACTAGGCAAGTATGATGTCTTGAGTTCAGTTCCCAGTACTATAAACAGTAAAAACACTTAAAAAGTACCTGATGTTTGTGAAAGACACTGCAAAGCAAATTAGAAAAAAAGCCACAGAATAGAAGACATATTTGTAAAAGGCACATCTGACATAGTGTACCATATTGACTTAGCAACCAAACTCCCTGATTTTTCCCCAAAGTGGTAACAATTTATATACAAAAAACCCTGCATGTGCATGTTTATAGCATCTTTATTCATAGCTGCCAAAGTTAGAAACAACCAAGATGTTTTTCAGTGGGTGAATGGGAGAAATAAAATGTGGTATTTCAGACTATAGAATATTATTTAGCCCAAAAAAGAAATGAGCTATAAAGCCATGAAAACCCCTTAAATGTGTATTAATAACTGGAATAAGAATTCTGAAAATGCTACATTCCATGGGATTCCAAATGTATGACATTCCAGAAATGGCAAAACTATGGAAATAGTAAAAATCAGAGTTGTGGTGGGGGGGTTGGGAGGTGTGGGAAAGAAAGAAGAACAGGTAGAGCACACATTTTTAGGAGGGTGGAACTACACTGTATGATACTATTATAGGGGATACATTCCTTTCAACATTGGTCAAAACTCAGACTATGTAACACCAAGAATAAAACCTAATATCAACTACGGGCTTCATGAATGTATGTTCATCAGTTGCAGCAATTCTACCACTTTCACTGATAGTTGGGGAGGTTGTGTGTGCATGAGAGCAGGGGGCATGTGGGAATTTTCTGCCCTTTCCACTCAGTTTTATTGTGAACAATAAAGCCTATTAAAATAATAATTTTAAAAAGACAACCTACAGAATAAGAGTATTGTAATATATAGTTGACATTGGCTTAATATCCAGGATTATAAAGAAGTCCCACAACTCAAAACACGCTAAATAATCTTATAAAGATGATCTTATAAAGGTGGGTAAAAATTTTAACACACATTCCTCCAACAAAAATACACAAATGGTTAATAAGCTTAAGAAAAAAGTTCATGGTCTCTAGTCATTAGGGAAATGCAAATTAAAACCACAATGAGATTTCCCTTATATCCACCAGGATAGCTATAATAAAGAAACACTAAACTAAAAAATAACAGATCCCAAATACCCTTCAATAATTTGCTTAAATATCTTCTAATTCAGGATTAGTGGTACCATGCTACTTGCATATGCACACACATGTATGCATGCATTTGTGTGCATTTATGTGTGGTTTATTTATCTATCTATATAATGAGTATATTTTCTGTTTAATGTAAGCATACAGTATATACTCATGAGAAAAATTTTATTTATTGATATAAATTTAGGTGTTTCCAACATTGTCTTACATATAAAAATGCCAAAAATATGCATGAAATTAATTTTATATTTCTGTCTTCTCTATTTTTCTTGGTTTTGACAGGGTTTTGAAAATTTTATCAGTCTTTTCCAATCCTGAATATCTTATATTTGTGTTCATTTTCATCAACTTATGCTACTCATTAGTTTCTCTTCTTTTTTCTTTTTTTCTTTCCTTTTCATGTTTCTTTGTTTTGACTGTACTACGATTTTGAATTTAGGGCTTCACACTTGATAGACAGGCACTCTACCACTTGAGACATGCCTTCAGTCCTATTTACTCTGGTTATTTTGGAGATAGGTTCATGGTTTTGTTTTTTTTTTTATCCAGGTCAGCCTGAACCACACCACTATCCTCCTGATTTACATTCCTGATATAGCTGAGATGACAGGCACACTCCACCATGCCCAGGTTTTGTCCATTGAGATGGCCTATCATCAAGTTTTTCCCTGGGGTGGCCTAAACCATGATCCTCCTGATCTCAGTCTCCCACATAGCTTGGGATGATAGTGACCACTGCATCTAGCTATTGGTTGGAATGAGGTCTCTCTCAAGGACTTTTTTCTTGGGCTGGCCTTTAACTTCAATTCTCCCAATCTCAACTTCCCAAGTAGCTAGGATTACAAGTATGTGCCATGGACAGACAGTTGCTAATTAGTTTCTTCTGTGAGGGTTAAAGGCTAATAAAAATTTCTCTTAATACTTATTTAACAAGATTTCACGTTTTGTTATGAATTACTGTTTGGTTAAGAATATTTTCTAATTTCATTATTTTGGGGGGTCATTGGTTATTAAAAATGTCTTTTAAGTTCTAACAAATAAGAATTTTTCTAGGTATCAAGATTCATACTAAAAAAAAATCACATATTCTATATGATATTAGCCCACCCAAAAGGTTGAAATTTGTTTAATGTTTGAAAAACATAACCTTTTTGTTCTCAAAAAAAAAGTTCTGTTTGTGTTTAAGAAAGGAGATGGCTGCAGCTGATGAACAGTGTTACATATGCCCATTAGATTCAGGATGCTGACCAATTATGTTGACCAAATATCCAGCTTCCTTTCTTATCACAGTGCAGAGGTATTCTCAATTATATATCAATAAATTTGCTAATTAAAATGTATAAGGAAACAGAAAATATATGGTTCCTTTCCGAAAGGTACTCTGTATCAATGTAATCATATTCAAGCAAGGGTTTGCATTTCTTAGATATGCAGATCACTTTCATTGACAATCTCCTGTATTTTAGAAATGTTAAAATATTTTAGAAATGATGAGTCAACATATAAATTTTCACTTTTTTCAGATAGGTTTTGCCTTTAGAGTCTAACATTGATTTATATAAAATGTAAACAGCACGTTCTTGTGTATTACAATTGATTATTTTTTTTTCTTTTCCATAAGAGTCTATGCCCAGGGATGAATTTTTTCATTCTTTCTGCTATTTGTAGATGATGAATTTCTACCTAATAATATTCCAATAGTTTTCTGTGCTAGTTATATATAACCAACCTTAAAATTTTCATAAAACGTATACTTTAAGTTCAAATACTTGTTGGTTGCCATCTAAACTTTTAAAATCAGTTGCTATGGTGATTCTTTTAGTGAATCTTTTAATTTGTTTCTCTTATTCTTCTGGGTCTAATTATAACATCAAAATTTATAGCATATTTCAGGATAATAACACTACTCATAATTCCTATAGCAGATTCTAGCCACTCTATAATTAAAACAACATTTAAGACCAGTAGACTTGAAATACATTTGAATTTTTAAATGCATAATAAAAAATAAGCAATGTTATATAGAAAGAATCATTCTTATGTGAACCAATCTTGAAATGTAAGCTACTTTTAGAGTTTATTCTACCTTTTTGTTGTTTATTTGCTCTAAGGAGTTGCAAAGGTTTTCTTTTTCCTATTTAGTATTGAGAATTAATTTAGCATTATTGATCCAGTGTTACTGATACAAATAAGGCCACTAAAAACTTAAAGGGATTTAGCAATCAGCTCAACAAAAAGCACTTTCTAGCACAATTCTCTCTCAACTAGCTTCTGCCTTTATGCCTCACATAGAATTTCCAAGTCGGTAAGTTTTCAATACATTTTTTACACTCTTAGTACATAACCATACTTTGCCAGACACAGCAATTCCTAGAAATACCCATGATTTTAGAGTCTGAAAACAGCTAAGAAAAGTGTAACCTAAAATAAATTGCCATTTTAAATTCTGAAAAAAAATACATTAAATTATGTATGAGAGAACTTTCACAACACTACAAGTGAAATTTAAAAGCATAAGATTTTCTCTATTGAACTTATAATCTGATAGATTCATATGAAATTTAAACAAAAATGACAATGAAGAAACTGAACAAGAATTTGATGTAAACCTTATGTATAATATGTCAAAAATATTCAAGGGTAAAGATAAATGTCAATAAATTCAAAATTCAAGATTAACAGTATTTTTGCTCAGTTTATATATGATAAAATTGGGTGTTATAAGAAATAAGATCCACAATTCAAGGAAGAAATAGGTCCATGATATAATTAGAATTTCTACCTATAGATATTACTTTTATAAAATATTTTTGTATTATGCAGAATTGGTATGCTAATTTGGGTAAAAGCACCAGATTATAAATCAAAGTACTTGAGTCCTGTGATCAGCTTTGCTAGTAACAGACGTATGAACTTTAACAAAATCTTAATTACAGTAGTGGTAGCCTCATTCATGGAAAGAACTAATAACATCTCAGGGCTTTTGGGAAAATCAAGTGTAGAACACTAAACAAAAAGGCTTTGGAAGTTAAAGTTCAATATAAGTATGAGTTCATGTTATACTAAAGTTTTTCTTAATATTTCAGGTTTGGTTTCAAGAAGCAAAAAGTATCAAACTGCAGTATTCTAGCTCAGAAGTCATAATAGTGGAATGAATAACTTGTCAACCTACATTTAAACAATTCATATTCACCTCATCTGCAATGAAATGAAGCAACAACTGGACAGTGCTTGCACAATGTTGCAGGATTAACTGAATGAGCACATATGGCTCATTGAGCTAAGGATTTTTTTAATGGGCACTGTTTATTATGAGTTGATATCCTACAACATTTTTAAATAGTTGATGTACATCTCCTTTGAGAGAATGTTCTGTGCATTTTATATAATATCATAATATCATTTTGTTTTTCAACTTCTTGCATCTAGTCATTAACACAAAGAAATGAGAACCTTCTGAAATGTATCAGAAAATAGATGCTCACCAACCCACATAGATTGATTTTGAAGGACGTTTTCTTCTTTTTTTCAAAAAAGAATCATATGGCAAATGCTTGCATTTTGTTTGTCTTCGAAGACACCTGTTTTCCAATTTAACCCCAATTACTTGATATAGATGCACAAAAAAAATCAATCAATTTAAAATAAATTATGGTTCTAAACTGTGTATTCAGGGAGAGAAAGGAATGGATTGAAATAGTTAAGTCACTTTATCTGCATCTGCTACTGAAATAAACCTACACAACTATGAACACGCCACATTGAGTAAGGCTGAGGAAGTAAGGTGTAATACAGAACACTTACTTACCGCAGATGAAAGTAGTCTCATCTGAACTATCAGCACAGTCATTCACAAAATCACACAGCCTGTCCTTTGGAATGCAGTACTTATTAGCACACATGAATTCTTCAGCAGTACAGTTTCTGTCTGGGCTAAGTAAAGGAGAACAATCTTGAAAGGAAATGTCATCCACTGCTACATCTCCAATGTAACTAACTCCACGTCTTGCCCTGAAGATAATCTGAAAAACAAATAGGAAAGGCCAATTATCATTGAAGCTGTCAGTCAAGAAGTTAAAAGCAAGAGCAAACTCAACATCACCCATGCATCATTCTATGCTATAGAATGGAGACTCTATTTATTCTATAGGAGGAATATGTATCTTTTATAGTGTGTAATTTGTAGATTATTGTGAAAACTAAGAGTATTTCTAAATTCATAGAAGCATGTAGCATTTAGTAAGTACTGTATATGATTGCTCTGATTATAAAAATATTATAATTTTAATATTTTGTTTAAATTCAAGGGTTTCTAAATAAACCTATATAAACATCCCAGTGCTGTGTCACTATGCAATTTCTGAAATTTTCTTGTACTTTTACTCCAGAGTTATGAGCTAAAGGGAATAATAATGCAAGAATGAAGGTTTATTAGTTGTGTGCAGACTCATCACTGTATCTTCTAAAAACAGTAATATGCTTGCATAGTATATACTCAGTAAGCTGCTATTGAGCAAATGAGTGATTCAAATGTTCACAAGCATTATTAATATTTAGTTTTAAGATTTGAACGACATGCATACAACTCTCTTCAGTCAAATTTTCACATGTAAAAAATTAGAATTTTAGAAAAACTAAATTAATAATAATCAATTTTATTTGCTGAAATCCCTCTTAATATATTTTGAACAAATTTTACCATCCAAATATTCTATGTGCACAGAACTAGTTAAGAACCTATTTCCTGGGATGGAAGCCTATGCATGTTAGCAGAAGAACTTTCTACATATTCTTGCTGAGGGTTCTTTTTGCCTCAGCTTAAGGACCATGGAGGTTGAATGCTTAGAATCCTAATAATACAATCAGGTTGTACCAAGTCATTACATTGCTATCCAATCTTTGCTTCTTTAGATTGAACTTCTTGTCCAGATACTAAAACATCTATGAATGATTCATAGAAAAATTAGATATTCCAGTAGGAGACAAAAAGTACATGGGATTTATTGCAGATATAATTCCAATAAAATGGACATAATGCTACATCAGTAGGTTTGTAGAACTGTATCCAGCCTATGCTTCCATTGGAGCTAGGAAGGGTTGATTAAGCAGAGAAAGCACAAGACCACGAATATATTTATTGGATATTCACAGTCAGTTGGGCAACCTCTGATGCGCATACAGAAGATAACAAATGCAATATTAAGCAAGGATCTTTTATCCCTTCTGTCTAGAGACAAGTGGTTCTAAATTCATGGAATTAAGCTCCAGGTAAGTAAGGCTAAGAAGAAAATGTTCTTATATATAATTGGCTCTGGATTCTTATTCTACTTATCCAAATCTAAAGATATTTTAACAGCTAAACTTCATCTTCCAAGCAAATTCCCAAGGAGGCCATGGAGCTCTTGATTTTTGATAATCCATAAAAATGAAACTCATACCAAATATCTTATCACATAATTATTTTCAGTTAAAAATTTTCATCTACATAGTTCTTTGTACTACCTGAACTTTTTGTTCAGTACTGGGAATTAAACTCAGGGCATCGTGATTGCCAGTAAAGTGCTCTACCAATTGAGCTGCTCCCTTTGCCCTGAATGTTTCTTCAATTATTAGATATACGTTAGTCTTAAGGTCCAAATATTATTGTAATCTAAATGAAGATGAATACAGCATGACACAATAGCATGTCTCCCCAAAACTTTTTGATTCATATGGATCTAGCACCTATAATAAGGTTTAATCATGTATATCCCTTTGAAAGATTATCTTTTAAATTATATTTGAAATGACTTTATGATAATCTCTGAGAATATATTTCTAAAATTGAGGGAGGTGTTCTTTGTATGTGAGAAGCTGACTGGGAAATGGAGGAAGATTGTCACTTAAATTCAGTGTTCCTAGAAGTACAATTGTCTAATTGAGAAAGTTAGGGCTTTCTAAAAAGGTAAATTCCTTATGGAAAATGCCATCTATAGTGTTAATGCTGTGCATTGATACAACACATCAAATTGGGAATAGGAGGAAATAAAGATTATGAGTGAATGAAAAAACCTAATATGGAAGAAAAAACTTAACAAAACTCTTTCTTCACTTAACTACTTGGATTACAAACCTGTGAATAGGAATGAACGCCTAAAAATACTTCTACTTTCTTCCACTGTGCACCTTGCTGTCCAGTTTGAGCCCACACTTTGGAAGTAAGATTGCCTTTCTTGATGAGTACCTGCAGAGATAAATCAAGTAATAGCTGCTGAAATATTTTGTCTTTAAACATGTGGCATTTCCCAGTGATTTTTAGAATTTTTAATATCTATACAAAGTCCCTGGGAGAAATGCTGGGACATTTTTATTAGATGTCTTTGTTTTCTACCATGAAGCTTCAGCACTGTGCCCCAGGGGTACCTCAGAAGCTTTGTATAATAAAGCCATGCATGAATATCTGTCAATCAAGTCCTAAGTTATCTGGACAACATTTCATTAAGAACTCAACTACATCAGCTTTATAAAAATCTTGCAGTCATAACAGCTGGTATTTTACATATTAAATAATATGTATGTGGTTCAATTTTGAGAATGATCTTCCTCACCCAGTTGGTTTCAGTGGAACAGTCATGGTGCAGGCTGAGCCCGCTCAATCATAACAGGACAGATGGATTATACAAGTGCACAATTACTCATGCTGCAAGAGTTCTCCACACAACAGTCTTGATAGCAACAAATCCTCATCAGCCACTGATACTTGCTGTGGTTTGGGTTGTAAGTGTCCCCCAAAGGTCCATGTGGTAGAAGCTTGGTCCCTACGCTGGCACCATGGGGAAATGGTGAAACCTTGAAGAGATGGGGCCTAATGGGAGGTCTTTATGTTATTGTGGGGGTGTGACTTTAAAGAGGATTGTGACACCAGGCCTTGTTTTTCCACCTCTTTTGCATCCTGGCCATAAGCTGAGTGGCTTTGCTTCACCATGAACTCCATTATGAAGTGCTGCCTTGCCATAGTCCCAAAAGTAGTGGAGCCAACCGATTATAGCCTGAAACCTCAAAACTGTCTCCAAAAACAAGCCTTTCTCTTTATAAGGTGATTATCTCAGGTATTTGTTATAGTGATGGAAAGCTGGCTAACATAGTACTATACTCTTATGCTAAAGAAGAATTTGGATTTGTCTCATCAGGCAAACAATGGTTCATCTTTTTGAATAAAAATAAGCCACCAAGACAGTGACTGATAATAATAGGGAAAAGAGGAATAGTTCCACATCTTAAATAAGTAAGATGGCTTGTTTGTTTTACATTACTTTATAAAATGTAATTTATATAACCAAATAATTATCCAGATAGCATTCATGAAGATTTTGACTTTTAAAACTGAAATTAACACCTAATGATATCTTTTCAAAAATTAAATGCACATGAATTTATTTTTGTATAACTATCATTTCTAGAGTAATGTGATGGTAGGAAAAATATAATGAACTTTTTGGTCTATCAAATTCAAGTTAATACAGCATATATCAAAGTCAAGAAAATATAATAATCAATAAAATAAATCACTTTGAATAATAATGAAAAGAATGTATAGGAAATTGATATTTATATATATAGTATAATAGCATAAACTTCTAAGAAAAAAACATGTTCAAACAACATACTATTAGTATACAATTTAAGTTATTTTATTCAGCCATGCACAAAAATAAGGACCATGAATATTACTACTCCAGCTATTTGATAATTAGTTGCTTATGTAACTCTCATGTTACTAGGTAATTTTTATCTGCTGGTACAAAATCTTATTCTGGAAAAATAAAAGCATGTTTGAGATCATTCATCTCAACCACCAAATATACAAGGTAAATAATTTTCATTTCGCTCATGAAAACTCAATAATAGGCTATTTTGACTATTCTATCCAAACCATTTTTTTAAAAATCAATGTAAAAAATACATTATAGCTTCAATTCATAAGACTATCTGGACTCTTAGATTATAAAAATTACATATATATGCATGTGTGTATTTAATATATATGCAAATATATTTTCAAACTATTTTTGGTAGGAAGTCTCACCTAAAAAGGATAATTTTCCAAAACTGATCTGTTAGAAACTTTTCTAATAAAAGCTTTTGTATAAAAACATCTTAAAATAAGTTGTTCATAAAATGTTTTTGAAAAATTAATATTTAATAATTGCCAGGAAAATTCTAGAATAAAACAGTATAAAGTATTAGCTTTATAAATAAATAAAGCTTAATATTAAAATTGCAATAAAACTGTTGGAAAATAAGTGGTTAAACATCTGGTTTCTAATCTCTCTCTCTTTATTAAGGATAAAGAATGCAGGTAACCAAAGTTTCACTTGTTATAAATATGCAAAACACAGACTTCTTGGCAAAACAAATTAATGGTATTTGAGAAGAGGAAAGCCTTTATCTATATCTTCCAGCAGATACCTATTTTAAAACTCCTTACAATATACAATTCTGGAAATTGTGAACTTATTTTTGAAATGTGGCTACCTGAAAATGTACAAACCATAAAATGAGTATAAATGGAAATGCTGCAAATTTCAGTCTGTTTCATCTGTGTAAAAGTTGAATCTATCCACATTACTAACGGATCTTATTTTCTATTCCCTACCAGTACTTGTGCAGTATAGGAAGACAGGACTTAGGGTCTATATTAATATTCTAGAAACTCTCTTGGCTTTACCTGAATATCTTTGTCTTCCAAAACAAACTAGATATTAACCAGAAATAGTTAATTCCAGATACGTGGCAGAATACAAAATAGATTTGGGACATCACTTCCAGAAAGGAAAAAAAATGCTCAAAAATGATAAGGCTTGTAAGAGAGATAAATGTCAGCTTCTAGGGACTCTTATGACCATATGAGACAATTTGAGAACCAAAAAAATGATAGTAATAGATTATAACACATGGAATAAAGTGGGAATTCAGGAGTCCACATTAATAGAAAACACTATGTGGAGAAACAGAGGCACGAGAATGTTTTTATTTACAATAGAAAGGGAAGCTACAAATGTAGACAGAATAACAGAGTTAGAAAATAATAATTAGACAATCATCATGGTAAAATTAATTTAGGAAAAAAACACTAATGGAGGCAAAAGTTAGTCAGTAAGACTGAGTCAAGATCAGGATTTTACATACCCTTAAATATCTCTCCACAAAATATCTCTTGATATAAAAGAGACAAAAGAAATAGCACTGGTAAACATTAACAAATGAGATACAAGAAAAACAACATAATATTGGTGATATTACAGCAAAATACATTGAGTAAATCCAACTTTAGGGGCATTTGTTTTACAAGATTATTTGGCTATAATCTTTTAAAATATCAAAGTAATAAACACCTAGGGAAGAGTTAGGAACTATTTATTAGAAAGACACTAGAAAGAAATATCTGGGTGTAATACATGATCTTGCATTAGACTTTTTCTAAATGGACATTGATGAGACAGTACAAAAGATTCCATCTCTGGAGTTGTATTTGCTATGAGTGCAACCCTTTGTGAGTCTGAAACAAATTTCTCAAAGAAACTATTTGTTAACAAAACTACTGGAGAATATAACACTACTACCATTCAGGAAACAAGAATACACATCCATGTATTGCCAAAATGTATATGTTCATTTGATTGTGTTACACTCAGAATATTGATATTGAAAGAAACATGATATATTTCCATAGCATTACACAGAAGGTATAACCTCAGAATAGAAGCAGTAGTCATAAATTCAAAAGAAAAATAAATTACCTACCAGCCACTAGTGTCCAATACTGCTAAAGTTTATTGTCAATCATGCCATTATGAAACTAGTGAAGTGCTGATAATTGTCCATTTTCACTTGTAAAGAAAGTATATTTTAATGAAATTAAATTATTCTATATTCATTTTCATAAAGAAAATTCAGAGAATGTTATGGCCTAAGCAGTACCTGGAGAGAACCGACTGTGGCACCATTCATATGAGTCCAGAACACCAAGGTGCATTTTGGTCCCGTTAGTGACATGACAGGAGTGAGGATATCAGCTACGTCACCAAATTTCCCATTAGAACTATCAGCATACAGGTACCAGCCATCTTTGGTATTGCTGGGGAAAGTATCAAATTACAAACATAAAACAGCACAATTTGATATATTGATGATATTTTATTACTCTGGAATTTTTCCTTAAAGTATATTGTTTTATAGAATAATAATGATATATAATTTTTATTAGAATAATTCTTCTACTACTTTAATTTTGAATTCATGACCCTCATAAGGATATCTATTTACTCAATGTGTATAAATTATGGCAAATGCTGAAATGACCAAATCTCAAATTACATGGTTGATTTTTTTAATAATCATACTGCCAATATCTTGGTCTACTTTTAGAGCTTATTTTCATGTAGCTAAAATGAGATCCTGAAGCATCACCTTTAGAAGAGAAATAAAAAGAAAAAATATGTAAATAAAAAGGGAATGAAAACTAGAAATGATATTGGCTTAGAGTTCAATGCATAGGCTTTTGGTTCCAATTTATTCTCTCTGTATTAATTTAGTTCAGTTTCACTTCAACATATTTTAATAACAAGGTAGGTAATTTAAAAGTGTATTTTTTCTTTCCTAATACCAAGTTAAAAAGAGAAAAATGATGAACACAACTAAGTAGCAATGCATTCTTGTCATCAAAATACAAAACTTTATGTCTATGCCCTTACCTTAACTATCATTTCAAAAAAGGGATGATAAGGCATTAAAGACATACTAGGCTGTACATAGCTTTTAGAACCATTATTTAAAGAAGTGATTCTTCACGTTTTGGGACCAGACCTCTCTTTTAATTAACTTCACTTCTAACCACTTTCTAACCTACAAATTGTTTCTAGGTCCTATAGAGTTAAAGCTTGCTACTTACTAAAACCATTTTATTTTGAAAGTTTTATCACGTTTTTTGAGAAAAGAAATGTAAACAATTAATAGCAAATGGATGGAAAGGAAGACCAATGAATTCACTAACTCATCACATACTTATTGAGTCCTCAGACTTAAAATCTCTGGCAAGGCACTGAGAACATAATTGTCCACAAAAGACTTGATGGGGTTTGGCCTTTGGTCTTGTCATTGAGCAACTTTGGGCAGGCCATGTAACTTCTGTGACCACAGGTTCTGCATTTTATAAAATGGGATAATTCTGTGTATGGTATTAATAAGAACTGGCAATAAATATGGGGAACATCTAACAGTACCCGGCCTATGTTAGTTATGAAATAAATGGTAGTTGAAATTCATGTTTATTTTTATGTCATTAGTTGTTGCTAATGAAATAAGTTTAAAGTTCTGAAAACCACAGAAGGTGTTATGGTTTGAAAGTTCATGTGTTGAAATTGTGGTCCACAATGCAGCAGTATTTAGAGTTGGGGTCTCTAGGAGGTGAATGGATAAAAAGGATTCTGATCACATCAATGAACTGATCCAATTACGGGTTCACAGCATAATGGGCTATTGAGAGGTGGTAAGAAGGAGGGCCTGTTTGGAAGGAAGTAGATCACTGGCAAACCTAGAAGAATAGATTTCTTCCCCAGTCCCTTCTTCCCTCTTGCTTCCTACTATGCACACCCTGTCATGATGTTCTGTTTCACTGCAGATCCAAAAGCAATGGAGCCAGATGACCATGGAGTAAAACCTCTGTAATCATGAGCCAAATTAAACTTTAGTACTTTTAAGTTTATTTTCTCAGGTTATTTTGCCACAGCAATGAAAGCTGACTGTTACAAAGGGCATGAGTTAAGAGCCATTATTATTGTATTGTCTGATTATATCTCAATGAAAAAGAACTTCCAGGTTTATCCCTTGTATACTTAATATTCCAATATCCCAGAGACATCAAGAAGAAAGATACATAGACTTCTACATTCAAATGTACAGAAGGAACAGTAATAACAATCAGGGAAAATCTTGAACATGTCTTACATAAATGATTCATTTAGCTTGTGAATCTTTCTTTAAGTATAGCTGTAATTTTGTAATATTTTACCATAAACCTAAATTTGAAGTATCTAAAACAATTTAATGAAATTGGGTTCTATTTTTAGATATGCCCTAAATAGTCTATTAGTCACTGATGGACTAATGGGGTTTGAGCTCAGGGCCTACACTTTGAGCCACTCTTCCAGCCCTTTTTTGTGATAGGTTTTTTTTTTTTATTTTTGAGATAGGATCTCACAGAACTATTTGTCCACTTTGAACCACAATCCTTCTGATCTCTGAGTTCTTAGTAGCTAGGATTACAGACGTGAGCCACTGGCACTGGCTAGTTTCTAATCTGAAGGCTAGGAAAAATAAGCCTCCTAGTTGGTCTTCCTACTTCTATCATTGACTTTATTCTTCATGCACAGAATAATCTCTTAAATGGAAATTAGATCACATTATTTCCACAAATCTACTTCCTAATGGTTTTCTAATGTACTTAGGATATAAGAATAATATTTAATATGTCAGACAAAGCTCTACATAAGCTTGCCTCTGCCTCCCAATAGAAATGAGAATTGGAAATAAATGTGTCCCATCAGCTTTCCTTAGAGCAAAACCTCACTCCAGTGCAGCACTGTATATATAAATTGCAAGACTCAGTATCTCAGAATTGTAAAATGCCAATTCTTCACAAATTAACTTAAAGATTCATTGAAATCCCAGTACATTTTTAATACCTTTTATTTTTCAGAAATTGGTAAACTAAGCCCACATTTCATATAGAAATATAAAGAGAAAAGAATAGGCAATTTTGTTGTGAAAGAAGACTTATTTAGATATCAAGTCTCATTGCTATGATCAGAATGCTTATACCCTCTGTGCTCCTTAGGCTGAAATCATAAGCACCATGTTAATGGTATTAGGATGTAGAGTCTTTTGTGAGTCTTAAGGTGACAATGAAATTTTCATTTTTATAAGAGACTTAGATGAGCTAGCTAGCTCTTCCTACCAAGTGAGGTTACAGGTAGAAGATACCATATTTCCCATGAACCAGGAAACAGTGAATCTCCTACTACCTTGATTTTGCACTTTCTCAGCTTTTAGAACTGTGAGAAATAAATGTCCAAGCTTGTAAGCCCTATAGCTTATGGTACTTGTTAGCCTGAGGAATCTAAGTCATTAAGACAGAGTGGTGTTGAAGCAAAAATAAATAATCCAGAGAACTGGAAGAAATAGCCCTGAAACAGATCCACATTTTTTGTACATCTATTTTATGAAAAGTTTGGCTTTCCTGAGCAGTGAAGGAAAGGACAATCTTTTCAGCAAATGAACTGAATAATTTACATAGCCATGAGGGAAAAAATTAACCTTGGCCTGTATTTTACAGCATTCAAAAATAATAAATTTCAGGTAGATTAAACATGGAGTGCAAAAGGTAAAACAATAAAGGTTTCCTACCTTCATTAAGTAGTAAAAAGGGTATTTTAAGGGTAAAAAAACTCACTAACTATAAAGAAATAATGACAAAGCTGTACATATTTGATAAAATTTTTTCAAATATTTTTCCATCTGTGGTTGGTTGAATCCTTGGATGTGGAGCCCTCACATACAAAGGCCTGACTAAACATAAAATATTGGTCATCATCCCAGGTAAACTATAAGAAAATACAGAGGACTGTTAGCAGATCTGGAGACAGAGGGATTGAGTATTTAAAGGTTACAAGTCAGACAATGATCAATCACCTAATCAATAGTTCTTCAAACAGTGGCCCCTGTATTAATTTTCCCCTTTGTCTAATGAATAGACAAAGTTTATGCATAATTTCCAAATCTAAAATAATACTAGAAAACTAAGTCATTTGAACAAATATAAAATAAATTATAGGAACAGTTCTCTAAAATCCTATAGCCCTAAAATATCCCTTACACCTGTAAGGGAAAGAAAAAAGAGAGATGCTTATAGGTATTAATTGGGGGCACATGATATATGTAGGATTCCTAATGGAAAAATGAAGAATTACACAAATACATGTCTGTGTCTGGAATGAGATTATTCAAGCGTGAGCCTGCAAGCTAACTCAGCTCCTCTTCTGAGATGAACACAGCAGTAATGATAACAGATAACAATGCTATCAGCCACAAAATATCAGCACCTCTCCACCAACCTTCAAATTATCTTTTCACACACAGAGTAAGAAGTAGGGTGCTTTACCGAAACATATCATTTTCTAATAAAACATGATATAATCCACATAGTCAAGGGTTCTTTTTTAAAGAAAGTTGGATCATACTTTCAGGTGTTTCAAAAATGAAGATCCAAGGTCATGATGCATAAATCATTTAAAAAGTCACGATAAAATATGATTAAACTGGGCGCTGGTGGCTCACACCTGTAATCTTAGCTGCTCAGGAGGCAGAGATCGGGAGGATCACGGTTCAAAGCCAGCCCGAGCAAATAGTTTGAGAGAACCTATCTTTAAAAAACCCATCACAAAAAAGGGCTGGTGGAGTGGCTCAAGGTGTAGGCCCTGAGTTCAAGCCCCAGTACCACACACACAAAAAAAGATGATTGATAGCCCATGTTCCTTAGTAGAAAGTCATCCACATCTTATAGGATAATCAGTCTCTAAAGTCTTATTACGCCGATTAAGTAACTAAAATAGTGTTTTTTTCCTTTAGTTGAGAATCTCCTGGGTAGTCATGGTAATTAAATTAGTAGCAAAAAAATTACCCGGCATGGGCAATCAAAATGTTTTAATAACATCAATTAAGCTTTGGACTTTTAGATATACCAATGTGACAGATAAATTCTCCAGGCTCATTCTTTGCGTTGAGATCTGTCTTTGGATTCATTGTGACAGCATGGGCTGATTTAAGGTAACTAGTATATGGTCTACTAGAAGCTGTGAACTTTATCAGCTTCGTGAATTGTGAGCAATATAAAGAATCTCCAGTGGTCTGGATGTTTGTCCCTCTTTAAACTCATATGCTAAATTCTAGCCCACTCAAACACAACAAGGGGATTGGACTATGAGCACATGATAAAAGCAAGAGCACACAAGGGAGGGGTGAGGATAGGTAAGACACCTAAAAAACTAGCTAGCATTTGTTGCCCTTAACGCAGAGAAACTA